CCACCAGACATTCCACAGCATTGGAACTGATTGTTCGTGGTAGAGAACTGACAGAAATAGCCTGTTGGACAATTCTGTGAAGCTGCTGTGCAAATTCTTGGCGCATTGGTGGCGACGTCACGAAAAGCGACTTGGTTGTTTGGACAACCAAGTGCGGCGATCGACTTCGGTGTGGTCAGGGGTGTCGCTCCACAGCATTGGTAACGTTGGTTGGACAAGGACCATTGGCAGGAGTAGCCATTCGGGCACGGAGCATTTGGCGGGTTGAATGGATCACAGGGAGCGATCTGGTTGTCCTTCATGTAGACGTACTCGTTTGGAGGGCAGCCATCTATAAAAATATGTAAAACTGATGTACCTCAGCTTCTCTACAAATTTATTCACCCTTACCAGAAACCGAAGAGACCTCTCCCTTGCAGCAGTGTCCAGTAGTGAACTCAGTCTGCGTACTTTGGCAACTATAGCCGGTAGGACAGGTGATGAAAGCTCCGACTGTGCAAGATCTTGGCATCTGGCTGTTTTCCTCGAGGTAGAATTCTGCCTTATTGGGGCAGATATGACTGGCCGAACAGCAGTATCCTTGGAACGCTCCAGGAACATCAGACTGGCACGTATAGCCATTTGGACACTGATTGCTGCTGCTACTGATTGTGCATCTGAAAGTAACATTTTTTTTTGCTCTTTTGTGGATCAATCAAAGGTCGTCCAAACAAATTTGAAATTGGTAAAATTTCAATGCAACACGATAGCGAGGTCCCTGAAGTAAATGCACAAGTTCCCCATGCAAAATGTGTATTCCGAAGCGAGAAAACCGCTCCAAAAGGTGGATGCTTGTGAGGTCGCCACGCCCATCGAAGTGGGTTCTAGTAAAGCAACGAGCCCTTCAAATTAAATAAAGTCGCAAATGTGATATCACGTCGTAAAACGGCATATTTGCGTACTGTGAGTACTGTTTCGGGCTCATTACTTTCAGACCGCCCGTTGATGGGCGTGTCGACCCCAGCAGCATCAACTTTCTGGAGTGGTTTTCTCGCTCAAGAATTCACCTTTTTTAGCGAAAATTTGGAAGGCACTCGATTAGAGATCTCGCTATTGTACTGCATCAAAATCTCACCAATCTCGAGTCTAGATGGTGCCTTAAAGAAATATTTACCTGATAGGTGCCTTAGACGATGGTTCACGGTACAGAGCTTTACCAGCTGGGCAGAGATCTCCGGTGATGGAAGCACAACAGTAATAGCGGTTCTTCAGAGCATTAAAGCGACAGAGATAATTGCTAGGGCAAGAACCCTCAACATTGATAAGACATTCCCGGACGCTCATGTCCACAGCGTTAACGTAGGCTTTTTCGCCTTCGGGACAGACCTCTGGAATTTTCTTACATTGTTTGTCAGTCCGAGCAGGTAGATAGAGAATAACTTACCCATGTGAGTAGCTCCACAGCAAACGCTGGTTCCGGACAACTGATCATAGGTACAGGCGAAGTTTGTTGGACAACTGTTACTCAACGCAGCATTGCATTCATAGGGCATATTGGTGTTAGGATTGACGTAAGCTACATCTCCTGGAGTACAGGCGGCAGAGAGACAGAAGTTATTACACTGCTCGATGGTCCCGAAATTATTCAGATTTCCACTGCAGCCATTATAGGTAAACTGGGTGCACTCCTTAGTCACAATATTGAAATAGTAACGAGCTGCTGCTGAAGAGGAACAAGCGCTGCCTTGCTGTGGTGGTAGCGAACAGATGTAGGAACGAGTGGGACAGCATCGATTCACCACACTGCTTCCAGAATTTACCGATGTGCATTCGTGGGTGGTCGGACAAACTTGGGTAGCTGAACACACCATCAGCTGACCGAACTCGTTTCGCTCGGGAGTACCACCGGATGGGCAGCCACCAACACTACAGTAGCTTTCGCAATCGTCTCGGGTAGCGAAATTGTTCGAATTTCCGTCACAACCGTTATATTGGAAGCTCTCGCATTCTTGAGTTTGGCTGTTGTAGAAGTAACGATAGGACGATCCACTTCCACATGTGACTCCTTTGTGGGGTGATAGAGTGCAGGTGTAGGCTGAAATAGAGTATAGTGATTGTCGAGTCATTTGACCACAGTTTGTGAGTTTGCAAATTGCGCGCGGCAATCGACGACATCTTACTAAGACTTGCCGGTAAAAACTCCTATAGCGGCAGTTTTAGAAATGTGTGCTACTAATATATTCGTCCAGTCAAGCTAATAGGGAGTGTAAAACAAACAAATCCTCCACAGTTGAGTTGACAAGCTCGTGAAGTAGCGCGCGTCTTGTGCAATGCGCAGATAGAGTCACCAATGACTGGACGATGTTTGTTTTGGATCATAGGATCTTATCCGCGATATGTATTTTGAGATCGCAAAAAACAGGAAGTAGTCCTTTAGCAAGTGATCAGCCAATAAAGAAGTCAGATCGCCACTGTTTACTCTTAATCGGGGTTTTTTGCTAATGTGTGCAAATGCACAATTCTCAAAATGGTGGAACGCACTATCCCAGTAATTTTTCTTGTTTTTTCTTAATGTTTGAGGAAAAGTGCGTTCGAAGATGCTCCACGATTGCCGCATATACCTTATCTCATCGCTATCTCAAACAGTGTGCAATTGCACACATTAGCGAAGGAACCAACGGTACCGTAATATTCGGCCTATCGCCGGACCCTTTGTAAAGTAATGTGCGTATTGCATACTATGCACTATTTCAGGGCTTATAAGGATATTAGCCGTTCATTTCCAAGATTTCTTCTTCTTTTCTCCCTTTTGTTTTAATTGAACATATACTTGAACAACTGCTGTATACAAATCACAGTTTGTTCCGCTAAAAAAGGTATTACTGACGAGTTAAGTAAAGTGTCGTCAATTGCCGCGCGCAGTGTGCATGCTCACATATTTATAAAGTACCGTACCTTTGGTAGGACAGCATCCCCAGACGTAACCATCAAAATAGCACTCATAGTTGACTGGGCAAGAGTTTCCAGCTCCAGAATTTGAGCAAACGTAATAGTTACCCTGGTAGTCCTTGTAAGCATCTCCCTGTGGGCATTGGGGCTCAGCTGGAAAGTTTTTTATTTTTGGAATTGCCTGCTTCTAGAAAGAAATCACTTCAAACTTACGAATAATGTTTTCGCATGTGTTTTGACATTCAAGCAATGTTTCAAAATTGTTATCGTTGCCCTGACATCCGGTATAGTCGAAAATCTCGCACGCTCTCGTCACAGCGTTGTACCAATAGCGACGCACGCTCTGCTTACAATCACCCAATCGTAGCGGTTGCGAACAGATCGCTTCTGCAAATAGCTGGCGGTGATATTAGCGTTTGCACGAGTCAAGAGCGACACGCGGTTAGGACACGGAAACAATGAGTCAGTTAGGTGAACGAGTGGTGGGGGG